AAATAGACCAATCCACAAACTGTTACAAGAGACAAAATGGGACTTTATATAATGACAAAACAGTTACAATTTTATATGTATACCAAACACCAGCACTCCTAAGTATATGATGAAATCATTAACAGAATTTAAAGAAGAAATAGAGAGATCTTCAATAATAATTGGAGAACTTTAATACCTCACTTTCATGAATGGAGAGAAAAACCAGACAGAACATCCATAAGGAAACTGAGGACTTGGACAACATTATAGATTAATTATAGACACAGGGAGCACACTCAACAATAGCTTAATACACATTTTTCTAAGGTACACATGGAACATACTCCAGGATATGCAAACAAAGAAAAACCCAGGACCAGATAGCTTTACTGGAGAAGACAAAACATTTAAGTAATTAACATCAATCCTTTTCAAACTCTTCCAAAAAATGTAAAGAGGATATAACACTTCCTAGTACATTCTATAAATCCAGCATTGCCCTGATACTAAAGCCTGAGAAAAACACTATTAAAAAAGAAAATTGTAGACCAATATCTCTTATGAAATTGGATATAAAAATCTTTGACAAAATGTTAGCAAAAGGAAATTATTTGAGACTTCCAGTTTCCATTCTAGCAGAAGTCCAGAAGTCACCATTCCATATTAAAACAAGTAAGAAGTTGAACAAGCTGAAAAAGCAACAACTCTTCCTAGATTTGTAAGAGAAGTTAGGTCAGAGAGCAAATCACTGTCTCAAAAATTGGGAAGACTAATAGCTGAATACAGAGAATCACAAGTTACTAGAGCAGAAACTTGCAGGTAGGAGCCTCCACAGTGCTAGAGTAGGGAAACCCAAACTGTAACTAAAGAATTACTGGAGGCTCAGTGTGGACAAGTCTCAGACTCAAAAGCTCCAGGGGGACCCAGCCATAGACAGGTCCCAACACTTTTGTGAGTTTTACCTTTTTCAGCTCTATCAGTTTCACCCTGTGAATAGTGGAGAAAAACCCCTAATGCTTCCAGCAGGGAGAGGAGAAAAGAAACCATTTTGAATTATGCCAGAGTATTTTGTTCTTCTTAAAAAGGTCTGCCCAAAACTATTTAACCAAGAATAAAAACCAATTAATGTAAACCATAACATTAACAAACTAAAGAAGAAAAATCACATGATCATATCAATAGATGCAGAAAAGGGGTTTGACAAAATCCAATACCCATTTATGATTTAAGAAAAAACTCTCCATAAACTAGGAATAGAGGTGAATTTCCTCAAATTGATAAGGAATATCTAAAAAAAAAAAAAAAACCCTACAGCTAACATCATACTTAATACTGAGAAACTAGAAGCTTCCCCACTAAGATCAGAAGCAAGGCAAGGATGTCAGCTCTCAGCACTGCTTTCCAACATTGTACTGGAAGTCCTAGATAATATAATAAGACAAGACCAGGGAATAAAAGGTATACATTGTGAAGGAAGAAATAAAACTATCTTTGTTCACAGATAACATGATTATCTATATAGAAAATTCTAAACAATTTATGAAATAAAATCCTTCTGCAACTAATAAGTGTTTCTCCACAAATTAATACAACTATATTGGAAACAGAAACGTCTCAGGAGTTTTGCAGAGCTTTGCCCTGAAGGAATATGTGAACATGTTAGTTTGCATATCGAAAGCTGTTTCACCTCAGTAGGGCATCTCTGAAAGATCAGTAGCTGGCTGTATCCCACAATGGCGCCTCGATTCTCAGACCTGAGGTTTGGACTTGCTTTGAAAAGCAAAGCAGGTCTGCTAAGAGCCACAGGATGAAAGCTGATCAAAGAATGCCCGCCTGACAGACAGACACTTGTGGCTAAAAGCAATTAGCCCAAGGGACAGTTTCTGCTTAAACTCCTGACTACCTGTCTCAATACACAATAACTTGATAAAGAAAATATGGAGCCACTATATCTCTGTTTAACCCTTCTGTTAAGTGATAAATTTACCTTAGAACTTAGAAGTTAGTCTTTGAAAGATTTTGTAACCATTTGTTCACGTAGATAGAATTAGTTAAGGGATCTGAAGAAGCCTTTTGAAAAACTTTTAACCTAAGAGGAACTACCTGTTGTTATGTAAATCTGTTACTCCTGGCAACCGATCACTGTACCTATAAATGCCCATGTAAAACTTCACTCTTGGCCTTTTGTGATTGACGGAGAGATCCAAGGCCCCCTGAGTATCCGCTTTGCCTATAATCTTTATAAATCTATAAAACTATACCTTCATCTCTGTGTATTCTTTTATTTCCATTATTTTCCATTTTCTATT